TACTGCATATAATTAATGTTTCAATCCTTAAGCCCCTCAACATAGGTGTTATCATAATTCTAGGAAATAACCCATAGTTACCCCTTTCAAAACATACATAAGTATATAATGTCAAATAGTCGGCCCAATGGCCCATTTGTATTTGTCAAAAACCCCTTTCCATCGCCACACGATTAATTATTTCCCCATTTGTATTTAATAATACAAATCGTATCGCCCTACGATAATTCAAAAATACAATTTGTATCGCCCTGCAATAATTTAAAAATACAATTTGTATCGCCCTGCGATAATTGAAAAATACAATTAGTATCGCCCTGCGATAATTCATTACATTAATAATTCATACAATTTAACCCAAAGGCACATCAATCATACAGAACCTGTCACCGCTATCCAAGTCCCCACAGAGCACTCGGTCGGAGTCCAGCATCCTGCCCCTGGACTCGTACCCTGTTCCCGTAGGAAGGTAAGGCCCATTCGGGGTCCTATCTTATGTGTTACCGCTGTCAAAGCCTCGCAAGGTCTTTGATTCGGATTCCACCCTTATACGTGATCACGCAGTAAGTCCATGCTATCCAACTCGCTCTCTAGAGTCAAGTAGGGCCATGGTCCTTACATCTATCCTATTAGCAAGTCCATGTGGTCGGGCATCTATCCTTAGACTAGAGCCGAGCCATGACCCTTGCTCTAATCAACAATCAATTACGGGTATCCTAAAGACCACCCAGGTAATAATATCAACAATCCAATCCTAGGATAATTATATCAATTAAATCATCTAAGGCTATCCCAAATGAATACCCTAGTGACGAAGCATCACAATCCTAAACTTAGGATTTATTTATGTTCATACTATGACCTCGGGCTAGTCATTTAGTACCACCCGAGTAATTCTTAGTTCAAGTTGTCTTTCCCCTTTAAACAAACATGACGGTCATGCCATGGCTCATTCTCACTTCATTCTATATTGACTTTACTAACCATAAAGTCAATACAATTAAATAGTGATTAACAAATCATTTTATTAGTTCATCACTATATCACCTAAAATAACATCTCAAGTATATCAAGTAATCATGCTCCAATTACTCATAGTACAATCAATCATGCATCAACTCTTCATATACAACAATATGATCAATTGACACTTTACTTGGCATATTAGTTAATAAAATTCATGCATTTATAACATTAGGTAATCTCATGAATTAACCCACTAGTTATAAACAATATAGTCAGCCATCCTCACCTTATGATGTGTGCTCAACTAGTTGCCTTTGCAAAGCCCCTCGATCAGTCCCCATTCTTAGGCCGATTGAAAGTGGAAGTTCTGGACAGCAGACAAAAGCCGGGCGGCTTTTGCAAAAGGTGGGCGCCATTCGGGCCTGCAGTTCGAAATCAGTCCCCAACAATGGCGGTTTCCGGCGGTTTCAACTTCTATCGATTCCACGACTCTTCTAAGTTAAATACCACCACTTTATATCAATATTATACACTTTTAAACATGTAGAACTTCAAGTTTAATCCACCATATGATTTCTTAAAAATCATTCAACATAAAACTAGTTAAAAGATGATAGTTGTGTTCTTACCTATTTTCCTAGCTAATTCCTCATGGATTTCCTATCCTTCTTCTTCCTCCAAGCTTGCTGGTTGTGAGATCTTTTCCTTGATCTCCTTATCCCTATGGTTGGTTCGTATGGCTCAAAAATGAAGGGGGGAGGATATCTTCTCAATTAAATTGAGAAATAATGTATGAGTAGGATAATGAGAGGTGTGGTTTGTCCTCAACCATCCTCGATCTTATTCACTTGTCCGCACAACCATGTTTGTTTTTCCCCCTTTCCATATTATTTGAGGCTTAATTGACTTGTGAAATATCCCAAGTGGGTGTAGGAAGTTTCTCCCAATTATTATTGTTATTTCTAACAGGTTGGGTCAAAATAACACTTGGGTTGCCCAAACATTTTCCTCAACTTTGGTTGACATTTTATTGGGCTTGTATAATTATTATGATGACCCAACTAATTATTTGGTAGCCCATTCTCAATATTATGGTCCCGATAAATAATTTAATTAATCCTTCATTAATTAAATGTACCGTTCTTGCACACATAAATATTCGCATAGAAGATTCAAATACATATTGAATTTCAAATTCAAGTACATCCGGGTGCGGTGTCACATGAACAGCAGACCTCGAGCCTTGGTGGAGTTCTAGTGAGGCCGGGATATTCCTAGGACTTACGTGGCGGGCTATCATTCGAGCATAGCTATCTCTGGCAGCTGACAGGACTCAACGGAAAGAACATGGACTTAAATGAGGAAATCATTGCACAACGTCCAAGACGTTACACGAGGCCTATTCGATTAGAATAAAATTAATGGCATTTACTGTATCAGTTTCCTCCTAGAGTACTAGCTCCTGAAGTCTATAAATACTTCCTGTATATTTCCCTGAAAGGGATCAGTGAATCAGTTCTCCAGAATAATAATAAACATTGCCTTGATGCCTATATTTCATCTCTTTCGTAGATATAGCTCTCGCAGTTGGATTAAACTTCATCATACGTATAGTAATCAAAATAAGTAAGGTTGAAGGTACGTTTTCTGGATAGATTACCTGAAGTTACTATACAAGACCATTTTAACTATTTTCATATACTTTTTTCTTTATTTTATTAACAAAATATATTTATTATAAAGTTTTCATAATTCAGCAAAATTAGGTAATCCAACCACTTCAACTATAATTTCATAAATTTCATTAAAATTAGGGGTGGGTGCGGTCCGGTCCAATATTTAGCCGTACCTGTACCGTGACTATTCAAACGGTCCGGTTTGGTTCGGTCCTAGACCTAAACTCATTCAGTATGGTTCCATTTTCAAACGGAACGGTACCATGCGATACCAATAACAAACAATGTCATTTTTCCAAGTGTTTAAGAGAAAATTAAAGTAAAGACATCCTCCAATTTGTCGTACTCCCTCCATCCCAAATTTACATGCAAAGTCATTATTTTTTGGACAACCAATGTTAGAGTTAAATTCTCGTTATTGATAATTAATTCAAGGTGACAACTCTGGTACCTTTCTAAAAATAGGGGTACCGTACCTAGCATTCATTTTATTGGTGCGTTACAGATAGTTCAGGTACTCGAGTCTAGACCCGAACCCGTTCCGAATCCGACATTTTATTTGAGGGTATGGGTCTGAATTTAGAACCATTTCCCGGATCCGAATCCGAACCCGTTAAGTGATAGAAAAAATGGACCGAATATGGTTTTTTAAGTTCTGGCCCGTTTTGGACCGGACCCGTGATGATATAATTATAGTTATAATTTTTTACATATACACACACAATATACATAGTGGTTGGCCCACTATGTATATTGTGGCCCGGTTCGGGTCTAGAAATATTTAAACCTAAAATATGGAAAATATCAAATATAAAAATGTTTTAATATTTGTAGGCTTAGTTAGTGGTTGGCCCACTATAATGAGATTTTCGCTAATGAGTTATTGATCTAGGTTCTCTATGAGTTCACTAATATACATATAACATACTCCCTCCGTCCCTTACAACTTTGTCATCTTTCCCTTTTGGGACGTCCCAAAAAAACTTTGTCACTTTCCCTTTTAATCCATTATTTTGTGGTTTATGTTATTTCTCTCTCCTTTGTACAAACCTCAACTATACAGTTTTTACTTTATTATTCTCCGTACTGGTCAACTTTGGCAAAATTTTAAGGGACGGAGGTAGTACTTCGTATATTATTGTATACTACGTAGTTCATAAGGAGTAATGTATAGAACAACATTGCTTATTTATATATGATTTATATATGATCTCTTCCAACATGAATAATTTTTTTGTTATATATGAAGTATTATACGTATTTGTTTGCATATGTCATTTAGTTTTTTTTTTTGCGGGTATACTTGGCCCGGATCGGAGACCTGCCGGATCCAAATCTGGAACATATGTTTAGGACCCTAAGAGTAAATGGGTCCGGATCTAGACCAAAATAATTTTAATGGATATAGATATGAAATTTATAGTTCCGGCCCGTATCCGACCCGTTGACAGGTCTAATTATAGAGAGACCGTAGGAGGACATGTGTCGCTTACCTGTCAAATAGAGGTGCGCAATGGTGGGCGGGTGCTTTGTGACCGACACGTCACGTTCCTATGTTTTAGCATTGAAGTGACGAGGAGACTCATCATTTGGATTGGATGGCCCAAAATGGCTGCCAAAGAAAGGCAAACTGGATCCCTTGACCCTCGCTGTCGGTTCCAATTTTGTTTTTTTGTTAACTCGATTTCAGCTTCGCTATGTAATACGTCCGCCCCAATCTCTTAATACTACCTCCGTCTAGGCGTGGACCCGGTTCGGGCCGCCCGGCCCGGGACCGGCCCGGCCCGTCACTGTGCGGGCCCGGAACCGGCCCGGTTCTCGGGTCCGGGTCCGGTTCGGGCAGAGACCCGGTCGGGTTAGCGGGACCGGGCTCGGGTCCTGGTTTTGGAGGCCCGGCCCGACCGGGTCGGGCCCGGGCCCGGGCCTAACGGTCCACTTTTTAAAAAAAAAAATTTTTTTTTTTTTGGATTCTTTTGGCTCAAACGGCTACCCCAAACGGCTATATAGCCGTTGGGTGTACCAGGGGGGGTCAGGGGGGTTTGGGTGGGGGGTGGGGTGGGGGGTTGGGGTGGGGGGGTGGGGGTTAAAAAAAAAAACCTATAAATACTCCTAATTTTAAACATTTTTTCACACCTCTTCTCCAACTCTTCTAAATCCTAGAAATAATGGCCTAGATATTACTAATAGTGTTTCTATGGGCAATAATATTACTAGCTTATATTTTAGTCAAAAAAGTGACTTTAGCTTGGATTACGGAGTAATTTATTTCGGAAGAGTAATTCATTTAGGGGTTTGTCCTCAAATAATACTAATTAAAAGCACTTGGACAAAAAAAGAGACTTTTCTTTTAAGTTCCAAAAATAAGACTAAATAATACTTAAGGGACTGTTACACCCTTACTAAGCCCAAACCCACTGGCCTGCTACAGTAACCCGTCACAGTGACCAAATGTGCAGTGACCAATGTTATAGTTACCAATGACATAGTTACAAAATTCATCCTGTGACATAGTTACAAAATTCATCCAGTGACAGTGACCAATGTCACAGTGACCAGTGACATAGTTACAAAGTTCGTCACCCCTAATCCACCAGTGAGTCAGTGACCAGTAATCAAATGCCGCCGCTAATGACCATTTCCCCGTTACCGCCGCCAGAGACGAGTACCCCGCTGCCCCCGTCAGTGACCAGTTGCTACCCCCGCCACCAGTGACCAGTCCCCCTCCACCGCTAGTGAACAGTACCTACCTCAGCCACCAGTGACCAGTCCCCCTCCGCCGTCAGTGACCAGTACATACCCCCGCCACCAGTGACCAGTACCTATCCCCGCCAGTGACCGGCCCTTTGCCCCACCCGTGACCTATTTGCGCTGACACCAGAGAGCGGTCCACGACGCCGCAAGTGACCAGTAGGGTCAGTGACAAGTCCACGCCGCCGTCAGGGACCAGTCCTCCACCGCCGCTAGTGACCCATCTCTACTACCACCAGTGACCAATCTCGTGCCGCTATTAGTGACCGGTCCCGCCACCGGCCAACACCGTCGGACACCACCGCCGACTATCACTACTCCATCAGTCACAACCCCATCCTTGCCCCTCTCCTGTGGCCTGCGTCACACAGCCCCCTAGCCCCCCACTATCCTCGGCCCCTGCCCAACCCCTCCCCAGCCTCAGCTTAAGCCCTACTCCCAATCTAGTCCCAGCTCAAGCCCTGGCCCAGATCCACTCCCTCCCCGCCCCCCCTCCCAAGACCTAGCCTTAGCAGTCAGCACGATGACTAATCTGCAACCATCTTTGATGCTCGCACCATCTCGATCTGTTTCCGAAATCGGCGAAGAAGAGATCAAGCCCTGTTGTCGTTCCCATCCTTATTGCCGTCGTCATCAATTGCCTGTCATCAATCGTTCAAGGCGGAGAAGACGAACGATGGCGACCTCGGAGTGGGGCAAGCAGAGGCGAAAGATAAATGAGAAGGAGGAATTGAAGTTCGTAGAGATGAAGTGTTGCTGCGGTGGCTGGGCGGTGGTGGAGGAGGACAAATCTGAGAAGGATCGGTCGATGGTACTGCTTGCGGATGGAGGAGAACTGAGGATGCGGCTGGAGGAGAACGAAGGGTTAGATTCTTCATTTGAGGGCATTTGAGTCCATCAATTAAAATTTGGTCTCTTTTTTGTCTTATTTTAAAACAATTCATATATTTGTCAATTGCAATTCTATTAGTAATAATCAGGTCATTCTTTCATTCATTTAGTCTTCCCAATCTTAATCCCAATCAACGACTCCCACAAATTTCTCCCATCTAGCGCAAGATCTCCTCAACCCCGCAAAGTGGCAAACCGGTATCTTCCACGGCTACGGCGGTGTAGGTCTCTTCGAAGGTAGTGGAGGTGGATCTATTCGATTGCGGCAATTGTCTTGAGGGGTCTTCGATTTCTGCGGTGGCGGCAACACCTTCTCTCTAGCGCCAAGGGTTCTTCCATGGCTACAACGGTGCAGATCTCAACGGTTTCTTATTACTCGGGAATCGTAAGCCACAAGTTCTTCAAGACAAAGTTTACTTCTTCGCCGTCATCTTTTTCTTCTTTGTTCATATGTAAATCAGTCACTATTTGAACTGTCTTCATCAAGATTTGAAGGTCGGTGTTTAAGCCTCTCTGTTTTAGTGACACTATAGCCGATGGTGTTGTCACTACGGTTGGTTCACTTGTATCCGATTGTTGGTAACTACGGACATAGGTGTAGCTGTGGAGTCACTATATGACAGGAGAAGTAAAGTCACTAAAACACTGTGATACAGTGACACAGAGGATATGCGTCCAGCGGTAAGGTCACTGGTGGCGCAAAAGGCTATAGAATCACAGCGCACATAGGGATGTGAGTCACTAAACCCCGGATATCGAAGTGAGTCACTGAACCCCAGAGATCGAAATGAGTCACTGAACCCCGGAGATCGAAATGAGTCACCGAGCACTAGGGTAACGTGATTACTAAAGCTTCAGTGACTACAATCAGTGACTAAGAAAATGATGGTGGTAACTTTTGGCGACGTTCACCGATGAGATTGTGATCTTGTAGAGTTGTAGTGACTGATTTATAAATTTAATGCAGTGACTAATTTAATTACCGTAGAATGATAAAAACAATTCACTAGTGACTACACATTCAACACCCTCGTACTACTCGTAATACACCGACAATCAGGCCGGCGGAGATGAAAAAAATTCATTGTTGATCGCACTGCAATAATTTCAATTTCCATTCTTTTGCAGATTCACGATTAAGAACAAAAAGATATTATTTTTTCATCTCAAATCCAACATTAGTGACACTAAAACATTCTTTCATTCCCTATATGGTTATCACTTATCAGTAACTTTGTCCTTCTCTCACCTTGTAACTGGACCTTCTTCCCCTTCCTCAAATATCTTTTCTGTGAGTTGCCATATGTTTTGGTATCTAGTGAATGAAAACAAGGCTTCAAAATAACGGAAATGCTCCTTATTTCTATCTTTCAGTTACACTGCATTAATGATCCCATTTTTCCGCATGGAGATGGTTGTTAACATATATCGTAGCATGGCAGTTTTCATGTTTTAAATGCACGTGGATAGAATAGTGGTCATATTATTGGGAAAAAAGGTTTTTAGGCACTTTTTTGTCTTGTAGTCTCCATTTAGTAATATTGATAAAAAAAGGCCTAAATCCTACTCTCTACTCATCTCCATTCTCCAATTCTCCATATTCATCTTCTCTAATTCTCTTATTCTCCTTTATATTTTATTTTACTATTTAATACTTATACAATTATTATATCTACTTATATATTAATTATCTACTTATATATATTATTATCTACATATACTATATTGCTTATATTTCTTATCTACTTAATTTCTACTTATATCTCTTAATACATACATACATACTATATCTACTTAATATATACTTTATATAATAAAGTATTAAATATACTTTATAAACTATTATTATATACTTAATACATAATAATATCTACTTCTCTACTTATATTTTATATATACTTATTTTCCAATCTCCAATTCTCCATTATACTCTAATATTTAATTCTTATACAATTATTATATCCACTTAATACATACATTCTACATCTACTTAATATATATTTATATATTAAAGTATAAAATATAAGTGTATTACTCATCGTATAGTATAGTATACTTATATATTATATAATATAAACATTATATTATATATTACTTACTATAACTAGTATTATACTAGTTAATTAGTTAATTAGCATTCTTGTTACATTTTTCATTATACTAGTTAATTAGTTCATTACCATTATTGTAACATTTTTCATTATACTAGTTAATTACTTAATTAGCATTCTTGTTACATTTTTCATTATACTAGTTAATTAGTTCAATACCATTCTTGTTACATTTTTCATTATACTAGTTAATTAGTTCAATACTTCAATACCATTCTTGTTACATTTTTCATTATACTAATTAAAATACTTCACATTTTATTTAACTAGTTGTTAGTTTGTTACATTTGTCACTATACTAGTTAACTACTTAATTAGCATTGTTGTTACATTTTTACTTGTACTAGTTATTTACTTCAAAAGTTGCTATAATTTTAATTGTAGAGACACACATTAATTCTACTTTGCAAAAAATTAGTTTGAAGTATTAATTAAAATAGTTTTAATTAGTTGCATTAGTTTTGTATCCATTATTATATTTGTTGTGAATTAATATTTGTTACATTTTTTAGATGGAAGGTGGTAGATATTCGGTTGATTTGGGTAACCTCCAACGCAATCGAAGAAACGAGATTGGGAGGAAGAAATCCCGCAAAGGTAAAGAACTTGCCGGGTCTTCATCTCAAAGCCGAGATGATTTTGAAACGGGTTACCAAAGGCGAGATGGAGATGCGATGTCCGAAGAACAACTCCAACAAGAATTGGCCCGACATAATAACCGCTTTCTACAACAACAACAAATGCCGACGACCATTGACGAAGAGGAGCTTGAGGATGAAGATGCGGAGGAATTGGAACCGGAGACGGCCGAGGAGGAGGGTGCCGGCAGCCACGACGCCGACGCGCCTGCCTCATCCCAAACCGCCACCGGTAATAAAAAAAGTAAGTCTGAACTAATGAAAAATAATTTTGATAAATGGAAGGACCCACAAACCGGCTATTGGCACGCAACTTGCAAGTGGTGCAACAACAATTATAGTTTGGGAACCTCCGGCGGATACGGATCCGCCGCAAGGCATCTTAAGGCAAAGCACCCCGTGGAGTACGCAAAATTAGGCGGCGGAACGGGGAAGCAAACTCAAATATCGAGGTTTGCGAATTCTCAACCTTTTGGTAATTTCTCCTACAATGATGCACAAAATTTGACTGGTATGGCTAACTTAATTTGAGAAGAAAATTTGCCTTATTTGTTTTCTGAAAGTCTTGCTTTAAGAGATTATGCACAAGGTAGTTTAAATCCTCAATTTAGAAATTATAGTCGCAAAACTGTTAAGAAAGAAATAATAAGGCTTTATAATGCGGAAAAGGAAAGGTTACAAAATTTTTTTGCAAACTTTGATGGGCGTGTTACTATTTGTTCTGACATATGGGAGGATGATTTTCATCATTTATATTATTTGGGTCTGACTGCACATTATATTGATGAGGATTGGAATATGCATAAACGTGTTCTTGCTTTTCGTGAATTTAATGATCGTCACACCGCTGAACATATTTATATTTTGATTGAGCGTATTTTAATTGAGTATAATTTGATTGATAAGGTGTTTGCTATTGGTTTCGATAATGCTACTAATAATACTGCTGCTATACCTAGATTGCGTGAGTTGTGTGGAGCCAATTCTTTGATGGGTAGATTTTTTCATCAACGGTGTGCATGTCATGTTATAAATTTATGTGTGCAAGATAGTTTAAAAGCGTTAGGAGATTCCATGGAGGTAATAAAGGGGGGGGGTTAGACGTATTTGGGGTAATGGTCAACTTAGATTAAAATGGCAAAGTTATTTGACTGAAAGAGGTGTGAGATATGTTGCTTTTCCTAAAGATTTGAGTATTCGTTGGAATAGTACTTATAAATTACTTAAAGTTGTTCTTAGATATAAAGAACATTTTCCTGCTTTTTTAAAAGAACATGATAACTATATTATAAACGCGGCTGAGATCGACACTTGCGAAAAAATTTGTAATGTTTTGATATATTTTTTTAATGCTACTGAAACTTTTAGTCATGTTTATAAACCTACCGCAAACCAATTTATTCCACAAGCTGTTAATCTCGCCGATGCTTTTAAAGAATTTCAAAATGCCGTTTTCGTTCATTATTTTTGTGATTATATGAAGGAAAAGTTTTTAAAATATTATGCGCATATTCCCCATATTTATGGTATTGCATTTATTCTCGATCCTCGTTATAGACTTGCTAATTTGGAAAGTTGTTTCAACTTCTATTATCTTGCGTTTTTCGGTGAATTTCCAATGTATGAGGATAACCCCATAGATCCGAAAACGGAATACAACGAGGTTAGTACTTTATTTTATGCCTTATTTAATGAGTTTCGTTCACAATATGGCAACGCTCCCCCTCCCCCGCCACGAACATCTTCATCTAAAGGAAAATCGATTTTTAAATCTGCATTTGGCAATCTTATGAAAAAAACTAAAACAACTCACGTCACTGAACAAAGCGCATTGAATGAGATTACTTTGTATTTAACATATGAAGTTGATTTTGAAGAAAATGATGACTTCGACGTTCTAGACTGGTGGAAGTCAAAAGAAAGAACGTTCCCGATTTTAGCACGGATGGCTAAGCAAGTACTATCAATGCCGGTTTCAACAGTTGCTGTGGAACAAGAATTTAGTTCGGCCGGCAACGTCCTAACGGCATCTAGATCGAGATTGAGCGCGGAGTCTCTTGAGACGCTTATATGCTACCACGATTGGTTGAAGGCCGCACGTAGAACTCAAGAATTGAGCATCACCCCCTCCCAAGATTTTATGGATGACTCAACAACCGATGGTGGCTCTACCTATGCCGGAGATTCCGATTGATTAGTATTTTAGAATTTAGTACAAAATGTATTTTATAGCACTTGTCAAATTTATTTATACTTGTACTTCATATTTCAAAATTGTAAACTTGTACTTCATATTTCAAAATTGTAAATTTGTAGTTGTAGTTCAAATTAATTTGTAAACTTGTACTTCATATTTCAAATAAATATGTGTTCACTTTTTCATATGTAGCACTTCTCAAATTAATTAATTGGTTACAATCTAACGACTTAAAATTATTTTTCTAAAATATAAAGCCGGTTTTTAAATTAAAAATACATTTAGAATATGTAATTTGTTTAAATACTTATACACCTATTTTGTAACATTTGTTTTAGTTTTACTTAATTCATTAAATTAATTAATTTATTTTACAATATGTGTATAAGTGTATAACTTAAAAAAAAAAAAAAATTTCAAAGCTCCCAAACGGCTATATAGCCGTTGGGGCTATGGGTGGGGGGCAGGGGGGGTCCCGGGGGTGGTGGTGTGGGGAGTGGGGTTCAAAAACACCTATAAATGTAGTTCGTATTGTTATTTTTTTCTCAATTCTCAAATGTAGTTCTTATTTCAAATAAATGCACTTGAACTTTGTTTTTAATAGCAATTTGTATAATATATAATTAATATAAAAAAAAAAATTATTGACCCGGCCCGGCCCGGCGGGTGGCCCGACCCGTGACCCGGGCGGGTGACCCGGCCCGAACCGGAACCGGTCATTGACCGGGCCGGTCCCGGGCCTACCCTTATAGGACCCGAGGCCCGACCGGGCCTTGACCCGGCCCGGGCCCGACCCGGCCCGGGTCCATGCCTACCTCCGTCGTTACACTTTCTCAAGTGCAAGTTAGGTGAGAAATAAGAATAGTAAAAATTGTGTTGTTAAAATTTGTGTAGAGAAAAAAGAAATGTACAGAACCACAAATTAGTTGCTTTAATAGAAAGGTGACAAAATTTTTTGGGACAAGTAAAAATGGAAAGTTAGCAAAACCCAATGAGACTGAGGGAGTAATAATACTCATAAATCTCAATCGCTCAAACAATTGGTTAGATTCATACTGTCATCTAAATACTCCGTATTATCTATAACATAATTAGCTTCTCAAAGCCGTCATTTTTTGTGTTTTACATCCTCTCAAACTTTATGTTGTCGGAGAGGGAAAACTCTTAGGACATGTTTACTTCACCGGTTATTAAACGGTGCTTATTAAGACCCGTGTTAATAAGCGGCGCATAAAATAAACAATGTTGTAAGACCGTGTTTACTTCAAACGGTTTAAAACACCGCTTAACATTAAAATGTCTAAAATAACCCTATACATATATATACACACAAACATTCATGAACACAAGTATATAATATAATATGTGTACCCATACCCCTAACCCCTTACCCACCCTACCTTACCCCGACCCCACCCACCGCCTACCCCTACCCTACCTACCTGACCCCACCCTAACCTGTCCCCACCCTACCCTACCCCCGACCCCATAGGCCCCACAGGCCCGTAGGGGTAGGGGTAAGGTGGGGTCGGGTAGGGGTGGGGTAGGTGGGGTAAGGGTAGGGGTGGGGTGGGGTAGGGTAAGTGGGGTAAGGGTAGGGGTGGGGTGGGGTCGGGGTAGGTGGGGTAAGGGTAGGGTGGGGGTCGGTTAGGTAGGGTAGGGGTGGGGTAGGTAGGGTGGGGTCGGGGTGGGGTAGGGTGGGGTCAGGCCGGGTAGGTGGGGTAAGGGTAGGGTGGGGGTCGGTTAGGTAGGGTAGGGGTGGGGTAGGTAGGGTGGGGTCGGGGTGGGGTAAGGGTAGGAGTGGGGTCGGGGTAGGTGGGGTAAGGGTAGGGTGGGGGTCGGTTAGGTAGGGTAGGGGTGGGGTCGGGGTGGGTAGGGTAGGTGGGGTAGGGTGGGGTCAGGGTAGGGTGGGGGTCGATTAGGTAGGGTAGGGGTGGGGTAGGTAGGGTGGGGTCGGGGTGGGGTAGGGTAGGTGGGGTAAGGGTAGGGTGGGGTCAGGGTAGGTGGGGTAAGGGTAGGGTGGGGTCGGGGTAGGGTGGGGTCGGGGGTAGGGTGGGGTCGGGGTAGGGTGGGGTCGGGGTAGGTGGGGTTGGGGTCGAGGTGGGGCAGGGATAACAATAGGTTACGGGCAAGGGGTAAATTCGGAAACTGAAAAAGCTTAAAGTGCCGCTTAATTAATACATGGGGGGTTGTATGCTTAATAAGCGGCACTTTAAGCACCTCTTTCGGTTAGTAAGCGGCTTTTTAAGGAGTGTGCGTGTTTACTTCACCTGTCTTACTAACCTAACTGTGACTTTAGCAGTGAAGTAAACACCTCCTTAGGGTGGGGATTTAACCTTTTGGAGATCGAATTTAATTGTATGCAAACCAATCCGTTCGAGTGCTCCTGCTAATTACGTAGTAGTTTTGCAACGGCGTCGGGTGGAGTGTACCGGGGAGTGTGGATTGTGCGGGGAGTTTGGTGAATCTGTGCTGCATATTTTCCGGAGGTGTGCAGTAGCTCGTGAAGTATGGGCAGCTCTTTCTTGGCAGTGGGCTGGAGAGGAAGAGGTCTCATTTATGGAGCAGATTCAGTCAGAATTTCGGACTCAAAGGAGGGAGGCGTTGGAAAAGTTGATATGGGGCTGCTGGGCTATATGGTGTGAGAGGAATCATCGAGTTTGGCAAGGCGTGTCTTCTCCCGTGCAGCAGGTTATACACCGTGCAAAGGCATTTGTGGACAGCTGGACTCATATTCAGACAGCTCGGAAAGGGAAGAGACACACTGGGCAGCAACTTGCGGCTTCCTGGAGTAGACCGAAACAGGGGAAGTTGAAACTAAACATTGATGCAGTTGTTCGGGTGAATAGATGTGGCCTGGGGTGGTGTTTGCGGGATGACAGGGGCTGTTTTGTGGCCGCGGTTTCTCGTCCTTGGTGGGGGAAACTATCCCCCTTATGTGCTGAACTGATTGGAGTGCGTGAGGCTCTAAGTTGGCTGAAAGCAGAAGGTTGGACCCAAGTTGAAGTGGAGTCCGATGCATCCCGGGCTATTGACGAAATATTGCATGGTTCGAGTTGTTCTCTTATGGGCTTGATTGGTAACGACATCAGAGATTTGACGCAACATTTTTCGAGCATTTCTTTTTGTCATATTAGGCGGTCAGCGAACAAGACAGCTCATGGTTTAGCCAAAGCTGCTTGTTCTTTGTCTGATTCGCGATCTTGGTTTTATTATCCTCCTTCTTTTATTGTTCCTGCTTTGGATGATGATTTGATTAATGAGAATTAATTTATTTTCTTGCAAAAAAAAAAAGAAATACGGAGTATGAGCTTCACTTTAACCAAAACGAAACACGTCCCTTCGATTAAAGTACAATCTAGGCGTGGGCATAAAACCCGAACCGAACCGGTACAGAACCAGCCTGTAATGGTTTCAGTTCGGGGTAGATTTTTATCTCGAATCGAAACCGTACCGTTTGAAACGGCTACGGAATCGACCCTAAATTTTGAGAACCGAACAATTCCGGACCGGACCGTTCAAGAAAAATGCATTTCAAATTGATGAAATTCATAAAAATAATTCATACTTTTAGAGATTCTACAATAATAATCTCTACTCACACTGTCCATAAAAATAATCCGAACTATCAATGATGTTCATAGAAATAAATTGGAGTGAATTCAAATTAATGCCTATTTAATATTCTCAATCCTTACTCCCACCTTTCTCCTCCTCACTATTCTTCACGGGGCAAATTCAAATTAAAACTCATTTAATATCAAGAAAAAGATTGATAAATGGGAAAGTAGAGGTAGGAGTTGAAAGTATTAAATGAGGATTAGTTTGATTCATTCCAATTTATTTCTTATGGACACTATTGATAGCACAGATTATTTTTATGAACACCCTCATTATGGATTATTATTGTAGAACTCATAAAAGTAAGGGTTATTCTTATGGATTTTGTCTTTCAAATTTTTATATTTTTTCCATACCAATAAATCTCTTTTATAGACCAGTAATTTTATAGCCCAAGTATGTATTCATGTGTCCCTAAAATAGAAAAATGTGGACGTTTATATATATATATACATATATATATATATTGTTATTGTTATTTTTTCTTATTAGATAATTTATATTATATTTTAGTATGTATTGAAAGAATGATAATGTTTTAGAAATCATTAATGACTATTCCTTTTTAATAATGTATTGTATATGACTTTTTGTTGTATCACGTTTGTGCAATTATATTTTACAACTTAATTAATATGGTTTAAATCTTAGTTATTGCGATTCAACTATTAATTTAATTAGAACTAATATTTAACCCTGAACAATGAAGAACATTGAGTTTTTCTATTATATTCAATAATGTGATGATATTCTTTTTATATTTTCACATGAACTTTGTAAATTAAAGATGATATTTATCTTGTGTATCATCATTTTGCCATACTTTTTTAGTCTTGTTGCATTATTTTTGTATTTGTGAATTTTAGTACTATGTATACACTTTCTTGTAACATTTCATGTAAATTGGTTGGTGTGATGATATCTACTAATCGCAAGATTTGTGCAATTTTTTTAGCATGTGGCATTGTACCGTACCGTTTTATACTACAATAAGGCCTGATAATAATAATGTTATGAGTATTAATAATTGTAATATGTGATGACAAGGTTGTCGTTTAAGAAGATTAATTGATGAGTAATACGGACTATTGATTAGGGAAAATTGCGATTTTAATTCTGTAACTTTCGGTTGTACTCACTATTATATTATACCTATAATTTCACTCGGTTGCAGATGTGATTTTGTAACTAATAAATCTGTACAATTGAAGGATTTTCTTCACATGAAAGTACACTTTCCAACCATAAATTCGCCGGAAAATATGTCTACGGCGTTGAATTATTAATTGCAGGATTAAACCTACAACCAAGTAAAATTACTGGACTAATAATGGACATTGCCAAAAGTTAGGGGATTAAACTTG